CAGCAGCGAGCGAGAGCCCCGGCAGCCCCACTCGGGGCTCCGGGCAGCACAGCCGTACCTGGGGAGCCGAGCGCAGGCACCGGGCGGCAGCAGCCCGCAGGAGGAGAGGAGCGAAGGAAGCGAGGAACCGGAGCGGCCCCGCCCGCGGGGTCCCGGCGGGAGGAGCCTGCGGCCCCGCGAGCGACACTCGCCGGGAAGGTGGCCCTGTCCCCGCCCTGCGGCGAGGAACGACCGGCCCTCTGATGTCCCCTCGCTGCGGGGTTAGCCTTTCTCTTCTAAAAGGCTCGTGCCGTGCCCTCTTGTTTTTGGAAGGGGTTGCGGGCTCTGCCTCCCGAGGCCGGTGCGAACACCCCCCACACCCGCTTCGGGGGGCAGCTCACAGAGGAGGGGGTCCTGTCCGAGCCTCGGTCGCTCTGATCCCAAGTGCCGGGGTCACACTGCCTCCCCTGCCCGTTCACATTCCCCCGAATGGATCCTGTAAAAAGAGAGACCACATTTCCTACCCCACTGTCCAGACTCTTCGGACACTGGCTTTTCTCATTCCTCAGTGCCAGGAGCAGGCTCAGATTCCCAGGGCTCTAAGGAAGAGCAGCCCTTGCCCCAGGGCAGACAGAAGTCAGAGCAGTTACACAATTTTAGCCATACTCAGGTATTAGAGAAGAACCAATAAGCTGAAACACAGCTGGGGCTCCCCCAAGCTATCTAAACCAATTTGTCTGAAATAAAGAGCCATGGACTGCAGAGGGAGAAAGAGGCTGCATTCCTGCAGGGCTGGGTTGGGCCAGTGGACATCTGTCCTCAGCACCCAGCTCTGAGGTGAGGACAGCTATAAGAGCTCTGGGGGCAGGTGAGCTCTATGTGGGGACACCAGCTCCTGTCCTGGGAGATGACCTGCACAGCCCTACATCAAGGATGGGGATCCAGCAGTTGCCACATAGAAATAAAGCAACAAACTGGTTTAAAGTAAAACATATGTGGTGGGTAGGATTAGGTGTTCATGCTTCAGGGAATTGTCAGTGATTTATCTACAGCTCCAGTGTCAGGAGATCCCTGAGATTTTCTTCCCAGCCCAATACCAAACTCTACCTTTCAGAGTATCCACCTGTGGTCTTCTGTATGTCTGAAGCAGCTTTTTCTGAATAGACTAAAATTTTCTGGATTGAGAATCCTTTCCATTTGACTTTTCATATGAGTGATTTACATAAAGCTTGAAATTTTTTACCTTAATTAGAATTCTTTTCTAAACATTATTCTTCAGATTTTGTTTCCAACAAAAGCTATAATCCAGGACAAACTCAGTAAAATTAGCAGAATCAGTAGTGGAAATATTACAAAAGTAGTAGTCCAGTAGTCCAGTTCTCTGCAGAGTGGCTCATCTGGAGAGTTTCAGGATCTCTGTATGTTGGCAGAAACTAAATATTAAAGCCTAATTACTGAGTAGGCCAAAGAAACAGCAAATGAGAGGGCAGAAGGCAGCTCTTCTGCACCAGCTCCTGTGAAACAGCCGACTCTGTTCCCCACTGGGCAATGGGAAAACACAATTCTGCTTGGGGCAGCAGGGGGATTCATTTTCCATGGGAAACAGAGAGCCTTGTGTCCCAGAGCAATAAAAGAGGACACTCAGAGAAAAAAAGAACAAAACCAGTAAAAAATTTCCCCCAGTTTTCTCAAGAAATGGAGCTTTTCTGTGTCAGCTCAGAGACGTCCCAAGCCGGGGAATCTTTGCACTCGTCCAAGAAGAAGCAGCTCAGGGAAGTGAAGTGGGCTCTTTAAGTCACCTGTCATGCACAACAGCCACCGCCAGCTTTCCTGGCTTGAGAAATGGGAGCGCTGTGGTGGATCTCTGGTGCCTTCTAATGGAGAGGAGGCACGGCTTATCCCTCTCCTCCAAGAGCTCCTGCCACCAACCCATACACTCCTCCAGCACAGAAATCCCACCTCTGCCCCAGCCTGGACAAACCAGGCAAACCCCTGGGGTCTGTAAAGGTCAGAGGGGGCAAACCCCTATAATAGCTGCCACTGAATTCAAAACTAATTTTTCACAGTTTTATTCACTTTTACAATTTTAACTTTTCAGCTAACTGAAGTGGAACACTTTTGGTTCAACTATTGAACTAATTTTTATCAATGGCTTACAAAATCAGAGAAGTTTTGCTATATTTATTCTATGTATTTTCTGGAACCATAAGTTTTTAATGAAGTGAAATTATACTGAGCAGCCATAACTCAGCTGTAATCTTCCAGCAAACTTTAACATTATGGTATGCTTGTAGTGTGTTAGATTTCAATACCCATTGCTGGCATCTCCTGTGATTAAACTGAGCTCACCTTCACACACTGCCCTCAGCTCCTACTGAATGAGAATGGTCTTGTACGCTTTGCAGGTGGCTGCCAGTCCCAAAGTGTAGGTATTGACATACATACTTAATGGAGCTTAAAACTCACTGCAGGCTGTGCAGAGGCGTGGACCACCCAGGGCTCCCCTTCTGTGGCAGGGGCTCTCTCCCATGATCAGGGATCAAGTGTTTTCTGGATGGGCAAATCTTTCCTGGTGCCTTATCCCGTTCCCAGTTTCCCCAGCCCCTGATGCAGCGCAGGTGATGGCCCCTGCACCCACTCTGGTATATGCTGTGAGGTAGATGCTTCTGAAAATACCTTGGACATCCTTTTCATCATGCAGACCACAGTGTCCCAGAACCTGCATTTTTAAACACACTGATTCCAGCAAGATTTCTGTGGAGTCTGAGCTCCAGTTCAGAGAACACATTGAGGAATATCTTTTCCTGACTGCAGGATGTGAAGCACTGGGATTCCTCAGCTAGGGGTCACTAGAATTTAAGGCAGGACAGGACTTCAGAATCTAAAGTGACTCCAGAGGGAAAACATGCTCTACAGAGAGACTACTGGATAAAAGTTTTTGTATGTTAATGTTAGCATGAACTGCAGCTTCATATCCTGCTCCAGAACTGCTCCTGGTAAGTGACTCCTCTGGCAATGCAGAGTCTTTGTCCTGGCCTCTATAACATTCATTCAGAGGAGGCTCTCCGTATTTCCATATGACCCCAGACTGAGCCCAGTATCACACTTGCCCACTGTGAAATACTGACATTTTCTGTTACATATTTCACCTGCATGTAAAACAGGTGAGATGAAATTTACTGTTCCTCCTGGCTCCATTTTCCTGTTTTCTGCATGCCTGGAAATTATTCGAGATGAAATGTGTTCTAGGATGAAAGGAAGCAAATTGTCCTTTGAGGGAGGGATTTTTTGTGGAACAGTGAAAACCGTGCTACAGAAAGGGAAATTCTGCTGAGCTGTCAAGAAAACAAGGAGCATTGGTAGATGATATCCTAATTTCCCTCAGAGAGTCTTAACACAGAGTATTGCTGCAGCAGCAAACACAGTTGAAAGCACTACAGCTTAATAATAAGCCTTTCAACAGAAATGTCTGTAGTAATCTTTTGAAGCAGCTATAAGGCACTTGTGATTGCAGGCAGATTTTGAGGAAGGTGTTATAATGTATTATAAAGCAGCTCCATGCTGCTTGGGTTCATTGCCAAACAGCTCACAACTACACTGACCATAAATGTGAAAAAAGATTATTGTGGTAGCAGGAGTAGTTCTTTTTTCTTGTTCCACTCCCTCTTTAACTGTGCTGGAAATGACTGGGAGCATTAGTATTCTGATGGAGGGAGGCTGTGACAAAGACCATGACTACAGGGCCTCCTGACTTCTGTGCTGCTGCCAGTGATGCAGAGGGGACTGACTCCGACAGCTCCGCTTCCCAACAGCCCTCCATGGCATGGGGAGAACAGACGGGTGATTCATAACACAGGCACCATGCTCTGGGCTTTCAGAGCTAGCTCTGAGCATTGCATGGAACTATGACACCAGGTGAGCAGATATTTATCTTCATTCAGAGACTGCACCTTGCAAGTGCATGCCTGTGCATGTATGTTTATTTTAAAAAGGACAAGCTATGGACCAATGTGATGATTGTATCTTCTTCCTGAATGTCTTTTCTTGGCAGGATTTGGAAGCCTCATACAGGATGTGCTGTGGTGCTTCAGTCAAGTAAAAGGAACTATAGATACTGGGGTGACAGAATGTAAGTTTATTTTTCCTTTCGTTGCTGTGACCAAAAATAACTTGTCACATACATCTTTCCTAGCTGCTGTGCAGGGAGGTCGTTTGCCTGCTGTTGGGAGCTGCTTGTACAGAGCTAAGCTACTCTTCTTGGTTTCTGCCCTCCTTATGTACTCGTGAATCTGAAATATATGGGTCTCTTAAATTAGCTGTTGATGCAAGAATTTATCTGAAGGCATTATAGCTAAATCATATCAATAGCCTTTGAAATAGATTTTTTTTTTGGTTTTCAGCTGTTATTTATAGAGTTTTTCAGGAAATGAGGAGACAGCTTCTCCAACTATAACCTTTACCAGAAGCAGTTCTGGAACTGAGATGGGCTATTAGACATACTTCTTCTATTTTGTTGTGGTCCATGAAGTGTGATGACTTCTTTAAAAGCACTTAGTATCACTTGTGAGACTAAGAGGACTGAGTTGGCTCAGGCCTCTGAGAGCAGAGCTCTGACTTCTCCTGGTGGGAATGCAGTGCCTGGAGCGCTATCACCTGTCCTGCTTCAGCGACTGTTGTTACGCTGCTTTTCAGAAGGGGGTTTCAGTCTGTAGTCTCTAGAGACTACAGTAGGACACAACACTCAGAAGGAGATCTAACAATTTATTGAATCTGTAGAGAAAAACACCACCATAGTGATTAAAGCCAAAATATTTTTTACTGAGGGTTTTTGTTGTTGTTTTTTTGTCTGTTTGGGGTTTTTTTTGTTTGTTTTTTCAATATTATTTAAAAGTGTTCTCAGCTTTTATTGTAAAATCTGCAGATCATTGTAACTAGTCAGGAGTACTTGTTTGCTGCTTTAGGATTAATGAAATGTTAAGTTGCCTCTTGCTCTCTATTCTTTTCTTAATGTAACCATTTATCAGCTGAGGGCTATAAGCTTTTTTATTTTTTTTTTACCACTGGAGACTTAGTGGATGAATCCAGAGGTATGATGGCAGGAAAGGACTCCTTTGACCTTTTCTTGGGGTAATCTGGGCTCACAGAACAGTATAGGCTG